ATGGCATTTAAAAAGTATGTAGTCATAAAAAAATGGAGAGCCACACTCCATTTTATATGAACCAAAAAAATATGCCATTGAAACTCGCACCCAAAGCATGGAATATCAATTCCATGTTGCTGGAATCGTGATTCCGCTTACTCATGAAACGATGATTTTTGGTATAGAGGTCGGGGTGACATAGGATTGAGATCTCTCCGATCGAGATCCTTAATATCAAGGAATAGCCCAAAATCGAGATCTTGCGTTTTGGAGCACCAGAACAAGATCTGGAGCGGAAACGACCTTAGAAGATCCCTGTAACTATGGAGAGAACAAATGTTATTGAGACTAGACTGAAGACACTAGTGCAACCAATTGAACTGGGAACCTGAACTATAATGAATCTTGTAACCGGACCTATAACCAACCAGATAGACCAATAGATGGTCCAAATCACCATCGAAAAGTTGAATCAATTGGTTCAAATCAGTTGGACCCGCCGGTTCAAACGGGTTTCCGCAGCTTTCTTTCATGTTTCCCTATAATATTTTGAAAACGGAGTGCACAGGTGACTATCTTGTCTTATCAATAGCCATGGCAATTTAATGACCAGTCTGGTCTCGATACCATTGGTGAGGACTAAAGCTTATGGCCCTGGGAGTGCTTATACCAACTAACAGTTTTTTGGGGTCATAAAGAAGAATACTCCATCAACACTACCAGATGGATCATGGGAGTTTACCCAACCCAATGGAGCCTAGTAGAGAGAGTATTAAAAAAATACCAAACCCTCTGTCATTTCCCCAAACATGAGTGCCTTCATCTAGAACAGGCAAATTCTCGACATAGCCCTTGTGGTTCAAGAAGACCTTCAATCTAGAAACCAAGCAAAGGTCTCCAACCTAGTGACCATGCTATACTGGCAGAAGGCTTATGACTACATGAATTGCTTTGTATTAGACAAAGTCATGGTCGAAATGTAATTTGAGGAAAAACGACAGACTTGGATGATCGGATGTATTTCCTCTCCATACTTTTCGTTCTCATAAAGAAAGCCCCCAATGGATATTCCCTTCCTCCAAGCGGCTAAGACAAAGAAATCCTCTCTCCCCCTTTTTTATTTGTAATGCAGCGGAAGTCTTTCGTAGGTCCATATCAAATTTGAAACGGTAGGGTATCCTTAGAGGCTTCAATCCCCTAGAAATCGTCCCTAAGATCGCCCATCTCCAGTACACGAATGATATGTTTAAGTCTCCATAAGAATGAAAATAAACATGGTGAATGCCAAACTAATGGATACTTGTGTAGAATAGGAGAGTCTTTGTGACGTACCAACGGTACAATGCTGTGGGCTCAATTTAGTGCCCTAAAAAATACCTTGGGATCCCTCTTTGATTGGTCAGTCACAATAAATAGTTGTGGGTCCCATCACAGAGAGATTTGAACACGGCTGCCTGGCAAGGGAGATTTCTATAATTGGGGGTGCGTACAACATTTATCAAGGTGACTCTATCAAACATCCCCATCTTCCAAATGTTCCTTTTCAACACACCTGCCTTTGTTGGTACTTAAATATGAATAGAGAGCTTAATGAAGAATTTTCTATGGTTTGGGTTGAGTGGGACACACAAATTCCACTTAGCTTACTGGGAGAATGTTTCTAAACGAAAAAGTGGTGGAGGATAGGGTATTACCATAGTTTTACCTCTTTAAAAGTGTAGATGGCTGTTCACCACCCATCAGGGGCAACTCCGGCAAGTTGTGGCCCCCCAAGAAATACAAGGTTGTTCATTCTCTATGGTTCCCTAAGCCACAGATCAACAACCAGTGCTTGGAATAGCACATGGGCAAGCTGCCAGATATTCATGGTGCATATGCAGTTCATCATGGTGCATGTGCAGTTCATAGTAAAGAGAGGAAATAGAGTCCACTTTTAAAAAGACCTGTGGATCAGCAATTCTATATTGGACGCTCTCTATCTGAACCTCTTCCAAATAACCTCAAACCTAAATGTTTTGGCGGAGGAGTCATCTCTGGTATCGAAGGGTGGATTACCAGGGAAACATAACACGTAAGCTAAAATAGCCGCTCGAAACTCCCTTTTTTTATGAGGTTTATGTGGCCATAACGTTATCTGGTTCATCATTTGCTCTCCCTGAATGGTTGATCATCAGCTCTATCAGGCAGCCAATCAACCATACGAGACCCCTATAAAAGCTATCTTTAGCCTCATAGGTAGAAGGTACACTTCAGGTTCCAAAAGGAAAAGCAAGACTTTCGCCATATATCTCTACGGTGAGTTTGCTTATGTTATCTTAGCGGGGAGACATGGGGTTTAGTTAGTTCAGTTTCAACCTGAAGAAGGATCCGCAGATCAAAAGAAGTAAATATTGGAATATATTTTTCTTCCCACGTGGTATAACGCACCATTGATCCCACTTATCTTTTAGTAATAAAAAAAAAGTCTCGCTCCAGTAGGGTAAGCATTCTTTTGGTTGGCTGTTGTGATATAATAATAATAAGAAAAAGCACTACTATTGTTCAATAGCACTACTATTGTTCAAAAACATACGGGGCAAACCCCCTCTGTCAACCGATCAACGCAGGAACAGCTTGATATCGAATGCTCGCGTGCTCCACGTCAAGTTCAAGTTTGAGAGAGCAATTGGGTTTTGGGAAACATAGCGCATGTTGTTGATCAAAATGAGTTCCAACAGGGGCTTTGAGCCACCTTAGGATATCCTCAGCAGAAGGCTATCCTAAACTTCAAGCCAAAAAGAATACCAAGATTTAGTCTATAGAAGCCACCTGATCTCCAATGGATCAAACTCAACTTAGATGTATGTTCCTTAGGAAACCTGGGTCCGCCTGGCTTTCAGGATAACTATAGAAACGCCTCAAGCCATACTCTACTCTCATTTTCATGGCCCAGGGGCATTCTTGAGTGAACAATGGCCGAGACTATTTCCCTCCTCAAATAACTCCTAAATTGTAGAGGGAGATCCGAAAATGCCATTCTTTGGGCCTCTAAATTGTCCCAATTCAATGAAGATCAAAGCCATAATTTGACATTATATTTGACCTTTGCAAGCTTCTACAAGTGACCTTCAGGCACACATGATGAGTCCAACACAAGCAACGATGCTCTAGACAAGAAGGGTGTTGCGGGTGACCGTATGTAGCATATGCTTTTGCATCTTCCGCCTCTTTTGAGCAATGTTTCAAAAAACGGTCCGCCCGACGCCTAGGCGCCGCACATACGGGCGGATGTACCTGGGCGGGCGCCCCAGGACATGGGCTTTTTTTTCTTTATTTTTATGATACCCAAAAGGGAAAAGGGGGTAATTTTGACCCCCCAAAAAAGGTTTAAATAGGTAATGGAGATTATTTTCAACCCCTAAAGTTAAAAGAACAATTCCATAAACCCTTAATGTCTTAGCTATACCTATTTCTGAGAATCAAAAGTATTTTTTGTGGTTTGAAGAACCTTCCTAAATTTTTTCACTTATTATGTATTATGGAGAGTTGAAGACTATTACTAATACATATCCTATTAAACTTTTAAATTTTGTATGGTTTAAATTTTGAAACTTTGAACAAGTTTATTCAAAACATGCGATATGTCATATGTTTGTATATTAAAAAATATGTTACAATAATCAAATGCAATAAATTACAAAATTGACACAAATATTTTATATATATATATATATGGAACTTGTACTACAGGGTGCCCGCCTAGGCGCTGAGCGCCAGGCCAGCTGCCTAAGGGCAGCCTGGCATTTTTTGAAACCTTGCTTTTGAGCACTGCATCTAGGAAGAGCACCGCCATCATTTTGTAGCAATGGGTCAGCTACTCCCACATAAATTGCCTTTTGGAATCACATACAAATCTGACTAGAGAATTCCCTTTGCCGGTTGCCGTTTTTATCCACTCAAGTCCCACTTTTTGAAAGCATAGAGTATAATTTATTTTTATCTTTTTCTCTATATATCAGATTATGCTCAAATTTGGAATGCTCATACTTCGCACCATCACACACCTGTAAAACTTATTTTACAAAAAAAATTGATATAAATAAAATTACCAAAACACCCTAAAAGAAACACCCCTGAATGCTTTAGGAGTATTTTCATCATTTCTTATTTAGAGTTATTCTTTTTAATAGTTTTTATAGGTGTGTAATACATGAGAAGCATGGACATTCCAAATTTGACCTTAATTCGATGTATAAAGAAAGATATAAGATTAAATACTCTTTATGCTCGCAAAAGATGGGACCTAGTGTAAACTATGAAATATAGGGGACTATTTTTCAATTTCAAAAATAGAAAAGAATTTTTTTGTGCATGTGTATGCATATAATTATATAACCACTACAGAAATAAATAACAAATCACCGCTGTAAGTTCAGGTTGCAGAGTGAGACCATATTCCAAGGAAGTCTAAAATGTGGCAGCCAAACTAGCTAATCTTGGAGTAATTTAATAACAAGGACATGGGCTTCATGCTACCTTAACTACTATATTCAGTCTTAATAAATAAAAACACTTATCAACATACTTCAATGATAAAAATACACCAACAAAAATTTCAAAAACAGAAAACAGATTTGTCCTTGGAATGAAGAAGGTAAATCATGCCACAATCAATACTTTATATGCTATAAATGCATAAAAACCTTAACCAAGAGAAGAAGAGTTTTATATCTCAAGGTTGTGCAACAATATATTCAGGTAGTAAACTATACACCTACTAGATGAGATAGCTTCCAAATAATAAAACAATTAAACATCTCATATGATGCATTTACATTCTGCTTGTCCAAATGTGACACTAAAGCTCCTAAACTAAGCAATATAATTAGTCAAAAAATTGATCAGGAATCATTCAGATATCTTCACAAACCATTATTTCAATTCTAGAGTCCAAACCATGAAATAAAAGCTAAACCGAAGCAAAACAAGGCAAAATCTTAAATTAAGAACTGTCAACTGTTTGAAGAGCTTATTAGTACCATCTCTATAAACATGTTTGGAGTTTTTATCTGGTCCCAGATCACATCCATCAGCAGCAAATTTAGATGGAGAAGTGGAAGCACCATGAGTATACTCAGGCTTCGGCAATTTTGACTTTGATGTAGAAAGAAAAATGTTCTCAATTTTTTGAGAGATTGAACCCTTTCCCATACAGAATTGCTCATTTCCATGATGGTTCTTCATGTCATGAGAATCATTGGCTCCAAAGTGAAAATGCTTGTTCCAACAAGATGTAGAATAAGGATTGTTCCAGGAATTCAAATGCCTCTCTGCAAAACATGCATCTGATGGATCACAAGAGCTAGAAGTATTAAGACCCTCATTTTGATCAATTTGATCAAAGATTTGTGATGATGGAGTGCATTTAATAACACCATCGGATACTTCAATGGGACCATCAACTATTTGTAACTTTGATGATACACCAATGCGTTCACATGGCTTTGAATCAAGGTGTGAAGAACATTTGTTATTGGCTCCTATTCTGATCCATCTACGTTGAAAAGTGTTCTTATTTGCAGATGATTTGTTGGGATCAGAACTTGGTTTACATGTCACGTTAGGAGTCAATGACCAAGGAAAAGGCGGTAAACTAGCACCCAGAGATGTTGGTACGCCTGAAAACTGATCAGGAACTCTCTGAAAATCTGCAGTAGTAGGTGCTTGTGATAGAAGGGAGTCCAAGGTCTTGACCTGTGGAAGTGCTAAACGTTGAAGAAACTCTTGGGGTTCACATAGTTGCAGGTTATACATCAGAGTATGCAATGCTTCTGAGTGATCAAATAGCTCCTGCAATCCCAAGACAAAGACATAGGATCATGAATATGTGTGTCTAGTCAAAGAGCATGACTTGAAAACCGTCATACATGAGAAAAAGAAAATGTGCAAATAACTTGCCTTTCCTTCTGATGAAGATGCTTCCTTAGCTTCTGATTTGACATCAAAATCGTTTTCATGTGCAGCTTGAAGACCACAGGTCAGGGGAGATAGATGGGCCTTTCCGTCACAACGAGTATCGAATCCATCAGTAGCTCCAGACTGCAGAGTTGGAGCAAGAATAGCACAAGCTTCTTTGACTGAGAGGAGAATATTTTCGTTTGCATTACTGCTTTGCTTCATTTTAAATTTGGATACTTCACCACTTTTGCAACTACCATTTACAAGAGCTTTCAGTGACATGTCACTCATGTACTTGGAAATGTCATGAACCTCAGATTTGAGGCCATAAAGACCTGCAAAGAGTTGACAAATGACAGAAACAGATGCGTCACTAATATTGCTACAGATAGCTCACACAACGTATAAGAGCATAAACACCACAACCAAAGAAGTTTTTTACTGGGTACAAAAATTAAACCAGCATTACAACGGGAAACCTTGCAAACCAAACCGCAGATCCTAGGAACAAGTAATCATACATGAATTTCCATAGATAATCTTAAACTCAAAAAAATTGACTTAGTCTTGAGCAATTACATAAGCCACATCATCCAAACCAAAATTTACAACTAGCACAAATCACAGGTATCACAGATACCAAATAATTTTATAAAAAAGGTGATTATAATAGTCATTAAATGGAAAATGCGGGCATGAACCACAGATAACAAGAGAGTAGATCACGGGAAAGAGTAAACTACCCAAAGACCAAAGGGCTGAAAGAAGGCAGGAAACAAAGCTGGATTGATTCACCAGGTAATGACGCTCAGGCTGGTGAGATGCAGGACTAAAAAGTCGAAGGAAACCCTTATGGATGCAGAGAACTAAGATACTCGTCAAACACAAATCATAAAGAAGGTGGCAAACCCATATGTGCCAGGAAAGTGCCCGACCTATTCCTTGCTAGATATACTTTCCCGTCAGGTTTAAGAGAAATTGGAGATTCGAGGAGCACCACGTCATCCCACTTTTGGGGGACGGATGCGAGCTACATTATGCAGACAATGATGCAAGAAGTGTGATGCTCATTCACTCAAAATTGGACAGAATAACACTTTCTTTTTTTTTTGAGAGAATGATTAGATGTCATTCAACAACCCTTAAAATGGGAAACAACAATTAACAGTTATAAAAATAATAAAAAATAAATAAATTTAAAATGGGAACAATTTACTGATATTGTTCTCTATATGCTTAATAGATAGCTGCGTGTATGCATGTCATCAAAGATTATAGCCTCAATGGTGGAACTATAAAAGTACCTTTATTTTTAGTTTTTCTAATGAAGCAACTAAATTACCTTATGGAATTGATTAAATCAAAACAACACACACACACACATGCACATGGGCTGTCTTTACTTAGTAACCCTCAAAAAACAGATGTTCAGGTTAGAATGGATTGTGAAGGCTGTATTTACCAAAATGTCACTACTTTTAGGTAAAGTGATGCTTTCACAGGTAGCTTAATCATTAAGTAATGGTTCATTTAAAATTTTCTCAAAAGTACAATGGCATTTTCGAAGTAAGTCCCCCAGAACTTTATTAGATCAAATACCCCAGTTTTTCTAGTAAAAATTTTAATCGTGTCCTTGTTTACATGACAAAGTTACTCCTCTTTATTGATAATGTCTCGCATGCCCTTACTTAATGACCAAGCTAGCAATATAAAAACAATTTTTTACTAAAAAATATTTATTCAGGATATATGCCCACATTCTAACCTTAAACTTTGTATTTTGAAGTGTTGTTAAGGATCTTAAGGTTTGAGAATCCCTATAATTGTGCGAGTGTATATATAAGCATGCATGCACATGTAATATAGTGATTTTATATAACTCCATCGATTATTAGAAATATAGAAATAACGTAACACTACAAAAGAATGGAGCCTTTTTTTTTTCTTTTTGGGAGAAAGGGTAACTATAGTATCGAATATCATAGTTAGATTGAACCTCAATGTAGGATCCTAAGGTTTCAAGAAGCGCATGATAAATGCTTCCATAACACCCACAAAATCTCTCTTAATTCCCCAACTTTGTACATGTTAAACAAAGGTTAGTGTATCTTCACCTCTTCTAGAGGTATGAGAACACGTCAGAAAGACGTCTGCAATTACCCTGTACCGTATCTATACAATGGCATCCATCACTATAATATCAACCATATGCGGTCATGTAATAGGTCTGAGCATGCCACATCAGGCAACAGAATCCAAGATAATGACATTCGGGGGGGAACCCAAAGGAAGATACTGTTCATTTGTTTTGAATAAGATTGACCTCAAATTCTTTGAGCTTCTAGCAATCAATCTTCTCTCTCCGTACATCCTCCATTTGAGACAACACTCTCTCATTTAAATTGAACATGGTTGTGTGGTTTATGTTGATTGGATTGTTGTCTATTTGTTTTGGTTTGGATTGCAAGTAACGTATGTTGAGGATTCACTATGTGCCACATTTTTCCTGAATGTAACAAGTATATTTATCCCTCCATTTGCAAAAGTGAGTATCAAGATTACACAAAATCTCAATGGCGCTATTTGCAACCACTTTCAAAATATGGCAATTGTCAGCTCATGTTTAAGCCAAACCCCCCCCCCCCCCCCTCTTCTCTTCTTCAAGAGAGCTTGCCTCTTCATTAGACTCTCTTCATATATGACCAAAGGTCTTATACATTCATGGCAAGTTCCCAAATTTCTTCAGAAACACTAAAGTTTCCAAGGCCAAGATTCCTTTCCACTCACCTATGCAACTACATTACTAAAGCCTCCCTCCACAACAATTCCATTAAAAGCCCAATTCGCAGAGATATTGCTCGAAGAGGCCTAGAGTATGTCACAAGTATTCTGCCCTAGTAGTTCATATATCCCTCATCCCTTCAAAGCCTCGGTTCCTTTGGGGCTCCAATCAAAGTTCAGCTTGAGCGTACCTTAAGGAGGGGGTTTCCACTGCTTGTATCCGCTTTCTTTGAGCACCCTTCCACTTGGTTTCGAATTCCTTAATCAATAAACCCCTTACTTCCTTCCTAGTTCTCGCCAACAAGGTGACTACAGCTCATGTTTTCTTGATAATTTCCACTCCTCGGCTTTTATTAAAGTTAGAAAACCAGTCACTGAATGCAACAGTGTTAGCAGCTACTAGAATAGATACATCATGCAATGGTGAGGGAAAAAACTGCATGAATAGACTCTCCACAGTGGGTGGTTTAATCATTACAAATCAAATAAACCCACCAACAAAGTAAAAATTTGTCTAGTAAAATACTATTTCTCCCCCCGGGGGGGAGGTCATAATTTCAGAATTGGCTTTTAATAAAAGCATGCGTATATTAGTAAGTGGCACACCTTGCTTCATCACATTGTCAACAGTGAGCACTGTTCCTAGTACTATTAAGCAAGAAAATGCTCGGGTCTTATTGTTAGCTCTTTGTGGCCTTTAAAGGCCTTGGCTCGTATATTATCCAATGTAGGTACACGTACCATTAATGAAACAAAGAGAGAAAACCCAATTTACGTGGGAGTGTGGATTGGTCCATGAGGGACCAATGGGATTTATGGCCAAGAGGGCCTCATGAGCATAGAACTTAGAAGCATGAGTTGCCCTAGGGCTCTCACTATGGTATGCTGGGTACACATAAGTTGATGAGTTGCAAACACAGGGACCTTCAGCTCCAAAGAAGTATGAGGTCTACTGCAACAAGGAAATGGGTTTATAGGTCATCCCTTGTTGTGGTCAGACGAGCACACCTGCTCACCTGAGGTAGGAGGAATATGCACACCTGCTTGAGGGTATAGACGCTCCTGAGGGCAAGGGTCAAAACCTCAACACACCACCTTTACAGCATGCTCGCATGATAGCTACATCTTTGGGAACCTTGGGAGACCCAAGAATGTGTGATTGTGAAAGTACCCCCACACCTGGAGTTATGTAAATGTCTAGGTGACATAACAGGTCCTTGGAGGGCACCTGAGTGCATAGCACACTTATAGTCTATCCATATCTTGGCTAACTTTAATAAGCCAATTATGATCCCCTATAAGAGAAACAGATGAGTCATAGACTCTTTTGGGTTGATTTGAGAAAGTGTGATTGCATGATTTGCAAACATGGAGTGCCTACTTCTAAGCTTATGCATTATCCCCTGGCATATTCACTCTTTCATGTTTTCCAATATTTTTAAGAACATCTGATTTGCACTTTGTTAAGAGATCAAATAAGTTTTTCTTTTCTCAAGAGTCACTTTAAAATTCTAATATAATAGCTTTTAAAGGAGATGAGGATCAATGAGAAAGTTTTTCCTATACAAAGGACTAATTTGGTATTAAATTTTTGGGGCTTGCAATGGGCCGGGCACATAAGAGCACGTGATTCATGTGCATTACGTGGGCCCCATTGGCCATAGGTCCACATGACACTAAGCCCTTATTATTTTATTCTGCAAAATTTTTTAAAATTTCTAAAGCACGTGGGCATCCCATATAATTTTCACTTACTTTCTTTTCATATCTTCATTCAGAATTAAAAAGGTTTTGAGGATTCTTTTAGAAGGATCAATATTTTAGAGAAAGGAATCTCTAGCCAAGGTTCTTGAATTCTAAAGGCATGGGGAAGACTTTAATGAATCCATTTGGAGAAAAGGAATTCATTTTGGATTAAAACAGCATGGATTAAGGGATAACGGAGCAATCTCATTCTTAAATCTTAATGGCTGATATAAGAATGAAGGGACGAGACTAAAGATATCACTCACCCCACAGATCTCCTAATAGAAGGCATAGTCATATCCTAAAACAAAATGAGACTCTCAAATACATATCATGTGAATATTTTCCTTGTGATAAAGAACATAAAGAGGTTAGAGATAGGCCATGACTGAGAGGGGGACTAGGCGTGTGTGAGAAAGAGAGAAACCCTGAAAAAGGAAAAACTCTACAAGGTGAAGGATCTAATTTTTTCTTGTCCCTAGCTGTTTGATTCCCAAGAAGACTTGAACAACTTTATCTGACTTCTGGTGCGCCATTAATTCAAGATGATCATGCATGTCCATGAGGACAATCCTAGGCAACTCTCATGGTTTATGTTTCTTGCTGAAGTTCTATTTTAGTTTGTGTTTGTTTTGTGAGAAAATGGCAGCAATGTTGGTCTTGGGTGTTGTTTTTGTTTTCTTTTCATGATGTATTTCCTCTTTCATGATGGTTGCGTGTATACAACAGCACATGTAAAGCCAGGATCCAGGCATTTGTAATAAAAAGTATAAGAAAAAGTTTTAAGTCAATAACGAGAATGCCCCACTCTTGCTGCTCGCATTTCTGTGGGCCAGGGATCATCCACACTTTGCTTGCAGCTGAATTAACCTCCTCACTCCAAGTGAGGATGCCTCTAGGGTCCCCAAATGAGTTCATCCTCCTTTCTAGGAGGAAAGAAGAAAGTCTTGAGCACAAGCTTTGAATTTTTAAAGACTTAAATCACATCCTCCTATAATGATCTCCTTAGTTGTGGAGTAACCTGAACCTTCAACGACCTCTCCTCCAACAACTGTTTTAATAATAAAATTAATTAAAAGATAAAAACATTGTGCTACAAATCAAAAGACATGCATGTCGAATTTATAAGAATGATGATATGAGAAGAGCCCCCGTTTCTTACAAAATGGACATATGTGCATAATACGGACAAGTGTGTCTCACAAAACAGACATGCATGTCTTGTTCATCCGATCTGTGGACTTGGGTGTCCAAATAGCAGACATAACATGTTTGCAAATCCAAAAAATGAAGCGCTTCAGACAAGGATGTCGACACAGATTCCCGTGCCTGTATGTGTCTTGCATGCTGATACACTTGTATAGCATGTTGGTTTGTTGGATTCTCCTACATGCACATAACACACATTCCATTTTTTAGAAGGCATTTATCATACTGCTTCTGTGACAAAGGTATCACAGCATACAGCCTATAACACACACACACACACACAGCTTGTCAGCACATGAAGTAAAAGAACAAAAGTGATGATTAAGAGAGATGTTCATTACAGCTGGGAACGGCTATAACAGGCCACAGAAAGGCTTCAGGTTCTTAAAGAGCCAAATCTCAGGCACATGGTTATTATTCAGAAATTCCAATTTATTGGATGACTCTTAAAAGAAAGTGGTTAAGACATTAATTCCAATTATGTGAAAGAGTCTTTCCGAGCTTTAAAGGAGTGTGAGTTACTAGAATTAGGAAGTTCTTGGGGTTGGCTTTCCTGGACCAATAAGCAAACTGGAGAAGTGTCAAGGAGTGTTGAATCATGTTGTTGCTAACTCTAGGTAGATGTTTCAACTACTGAAAACAATAATTGAACTTCTTTCTAAAGGCACTTCCGATCATTTCTGGATACTAGATTCCCCTTTGAAGCCCGGTTCCTTTCCATATGGCAAAGAGATCATTCTCGATCCATTCCATTAAGAACTCTTGGAAGGGAAAGGCTGTCAGCAGACCGATATATAGACTGGTTGCAAAACATAAGAGGCTGTGGGCTGATCTTCAAAGGTGGAATAGGAAGGCTTTTGGGAACGTTAGCCGCAAGGTAGAACGTTCACTGCAAGGTACGGGAAGTAATCAGCTGCCATGTATCTATGATGAGATGGCTGCTGATTCTAATGAAAGTATCCTAGACAATAAGGAAAAATACTTTTTCAATCAGTTAAGAGTGGCTTGGTAAGGAGGAAGGTCTTTGGGGGCAAAAAACAAGGCAGTAATGACTAAAAAAGTGGATATGGCAGTACCAAATTCTTCCATCAATCTGCTATTGTCGGACATAAGAGCAATCAGGCAACTACCCTAAAAGATTATCCTGGCAATCTGTTTTCCAAAGTGTCTTGAGTAGAAGGATCACATGCTCGACTTCGTCAAGGACTTGGTGGCCCTTCCCCCCAATTGATATTCCCCACATCACAAAAGGCTTTCATATTGAGAATTACCTCTTCACAGTATCCATATATTCAAGTTTCTTCTCCATTTGATGTAGAAGGCTAAATTTGAGTGCCAGTTTCTACTGGATTGCGAGCAACCTCTTCTCGGTGACTGATATTCCCTAACTGTTGCAACCACTAATTAATTTCACCCATCTTTCCTCGAAGTTCGTGGATTTTGACTTTATTGCCTTACATGGCTTGATTTATACCATCTTTAATTCGTTGTTTCACAACATTTATGATTTGTGGCAATATATCCCAGATCGCAAAAGAAGGCTTCTACGGCAATGGATGGATCTTTTGAAGCCCCATTACCAATAGATACAGGGAGGAAGGAGAAAAGGAAAAAACAAAATTAGAAAAATAAAATTTTAAAAAAAGGACAAGAGATTATACCAACTCTCTGTACACCCAGAAGTTGAGAGATTTTAACATCTCTCTAGGTCTGCAAGGGAGTTCACCCCAAAACATATCCTTTCATTAGACCCAAAATCAATTCTTCGTCTCATCTTTATTCTCCATTGTCCAACATTTACATATTCAAAAAAACAAAAACAAAAAAAACTGAAACCTGAGAAACTCAGATTCAAAAAAAGATAAACTTGAGAAACTCTAATCACAATTACATGCTAGCTCTTCATAGTTAGGCAGCCGGTCTGGCCTTGTCAAATCCCCACCTCCCTCCCTCCCTCCCTCCCTCTCTCAAGGCCATGGGCCGGTGACATTGTTGCCCAGCCCAGGTCCATGCCCAGGCCCAGCCCAATAACCAACCAGACCAAGAATAATAGACCTGGATCCAGGCCTGTGAGCCAGATTACAGGAATAAGGCCTTGTTCTTCCGGGGCCGGGCCAGCCCGTTACTACCCCTATACTAAGTCGTTTCCTCCAAGGTAAGAAAATGTGTACTCAGCAAGAGGGACATGTTCCTAACTGGTTGAGGATATATCCTTGGCAAATCATTCCTGAGCCATATAAGTATGTCCTAGAGCAGGAAAGCCACTTTAAATGCAACTAAAATCTACACAAGTGTCAAAAACCCTTGAAAAGGGGGATGTAAAAATAATGATTCTTTCAGTATGTTAGACTTTGTCCCAAAGTGCATATCAAGTTGGGATTGGTCAACTGTTGCTTTTCTTGGGCACAGTTCAGCTTAAGTACGTTAAATCAGTCAATTTAGACAATTCCATATATCGCTGCTTATCACCTATAGAGCATTCTTCAGATGCAAAGTAGATGCTGTATAAAATTTCTTCAAATAATAACTCAAACAAATACTTATCTCCTCCGGGAGATATAGAAACCAGTCAATGCCAACATATAGAATACAATAAGAGCATGATGTGCAATAAAAGTCGAAGATAGCGACAAAGCAGGAAACTTGGAACATATTTCCTCGCCATACCAAGAATGTTATTTCCTGCCACAGTTGAACTGGAGCCAGTTGAACCAGCCCTTGGAATAAAGGAATCAAGTTTATTCTTAGCAGTTGATCTACAATTTCTCTTATCAGCGCGTTTACCATCTCGCCCATGCTTCCACTTGACTACTCGGGATTTATCTGAGACATTAAGCATACAAGACTTAAATACAAAACCAGTGAACCATATAAAAAGAAAAGGCAAGTTATTTTGAATGGAAATGGACAATAGAAGAGTAAATAATTGCCACACGCATCACACATTGACCAGCTTTGTCCATATAGGAGTAGTCTGCATTTGATACACAAGTTTACGTTGTTTTGGAGGTCACAACTAAAGTAAAGGAACCATAAATAAATACGCCATGAACATTGTTCAGGTAGAACTGTACTCAAACATCTAATTCCTCAGATTAGCAAAGACAACTGATCACACTAGAGGCATTCAATTCATTCAACTTTTAAAGATAAATATTAAAATTAAAATAAATAAAAGGCATTCTTACTGTCAACAAAAGCAAAGGGCCGAACTTGATTTCAAACAACCACCAAAATGTGGTGACCATGCTGATACATGTGATCACAATGAAGCCTCTTCCCCCCCTTCCTCCGTCCCCTCGTTCAGATTGGAATGCTATTTACAATCTCTATCCGTTAACCTCACACCGTTGCTCTGAATCAGCTATAACAGCTTCCTGTGCTCCAATCTCTTCCCCTCCCACCGATGCTCAAGTTGTAGCCTCTCGCCACCCGTTGCCCAACCAGGTACGCAAGTCCTCCGATAAGGGCCTCGCTTGTCTTGGTTCTAAGTCTAGCCCCTAGGAAAGAAGCTCCACTTTTCTGCCTCTCAATCTTTCCACACAGGATGAGGTGGTCCACCCCCTGACTGTCAAACTGCAAGCTTCTCTCGTGAGATCCTTCTCTCCTCAAAGGGGCGACATCAGGGACATCGAGAAATGGGCGCAGCATCTCTAGGGCAAGCCTCAGGTGACATGCCGGACAGATCCTCTTCATCTTCCCCTCGCCCGAGTGTGCCCGGAGAATCTCTCAAGTTAGCTTTCTCCCTTCTTTCAAAGGGGCGGTTCTTAAACTTTGCCCTTGGTCGCCTCTCGAAGGGTCCTTCAGAAAGTAAAGAATCTGGATTACGGTGGCTGATATCCCTCTTCGCACGTGGTCGCCGGTGATTTTCAAAAAATTAGCCGAAGCCTACGGCTCTCTGATCGCCATCCATTGGAAGTCTTTCGAGTTTCTACCGCTCGAATCCATGCGCCTCCTGTTAGAGGTTCTCGACTCTCAGCTTATCCCCTCCCTAATTTGGATTAGGGTGGGAGACTCTTTCTTCCCCCTCTCTATTTTCTGGTCCCTGGTGTCTAGGACCTCTAATTCCTTCTTCAACCATCGACATGATCGAAAACCTCAGAGACCCAAACCATCGAAATGGAACCTAGTGACCGGGAAGCGACGCCCCTCCGGCAGCTGTCAACGATCGGCTTCCGCTGATGACATCACCCTTAGATCGAGCCACCCCAACAACAGCCTTAAATCGAGGTCAGTTCCCTGGCGACCCCGGCGCAACTCTTGAACTTCGTCTTCAGGGCACCTCACGTCCTATCCGCCATCTTCACCGCCTCACCCTGCATTCTCACCACGCCACGTGGACTATTGCTCTGTCGACGTCAGGCGTCCTCTACCTAGGGATGGGAACCGAGTTGGGCCTCAGCATGGCATTTGTGGTTGCTCTCAAGTTGAGAGCCCGGCCCTTCTTCATTCGCCTGGCTCCTCGGGCCTTCTGGCCTCCCCGGGGTTGGCGCCGAGGTGTTCTTCGGTGTGTCACTCTGTGCCACTCCACACGTCCTCCCAGAGGTCCCTCGCTAACAAGACCCTAGAGTGCCACCCACCATGTGGCTAGCCCAGAGGACCTCTTGCTTGTGTTGTCCTTCCCTCGGGTTCTGCACTTGTCACCTCGCCGCCTCCGCCTCCTCCTATTCCAGCCTTGAGCCCCATCAACCAGCCTGTCCTCAGAAGCGTCACTTCTACGGATGCTCAAGTCACATCATCTCTCCTGCTTGACGTGTCGCAAACACCCCCCTCGTCGTCCCTTGTTGCCTTGGTGGCCATGGATCAGCCGTCGGTCCCTTCACGCCTCGGGACCATTACCGAGGTGGATTTCAACCCCCCAACCCTCCTGCCTCCTTCCTTTCCCCCCCCCCCGCCCTTCCCCCTTCGTCTCCCCCACCCAGTCCGAACCCTGTTTAGCCTCTCCCACCCCCCTCCCACCTCCTCCACTGACTGTTCCCCGTTCTCCCTCCTCCCCCCGCCCCCCGCTACTTCCACTTCCACCGAACGTCCTCCAGTTCGTGTTCCTGTCCCCTCGCTTACCCTACCCTTCCCCGGTCCCCCCTCAAGAGTTGCTCCCTCTTCCACCCCACCCCCCCCCCCCCCCCCCTCTCCTATTTGTGATGGATTGGTCACAGTACCCCTTTTGGGGTGGTGGCGGTGCACGTTTCGGACCCCACAACTTTGGACCTAGACCTCCTATCCTCTCTCCTTTCCCCGTTCTTCCCCTTCACCCCCCACCTCAAGCCCATATGTCAAGTATCGACCCCCAATCTTCCTCTTCTCCGTCTCCAAGGGCACCCTTTGTTACCTCTTTCGACCATCCCGACTAACGACTTTCCCCAACCCTGCTTTAATCTCTCCTTTAACCCGACCTTCTTCCCAAGGAGGGCCCAGGTTTATAGCCATTTCCCTTCTATGTGGGTACCCCTCAGCCCTCCCCTACCTCTGCCCCCTAAGCCCCCTGTCTACCTCCTCCTCCTCCCAAGGAAAGTTGGTCGTACCCTCTCTCCGACACCCCGAGCCTCTCCTCCTGGGAAGGGACTACCACCCCTCGATCTTCTCCCATGCCTCCCCCCCTTTCTGGTCCCTTCCCCGTTGATTATGATCCCCTTCTCTCGATCCCTGACCCTCCTCCACTGGACCCTGAGACACTTCCCCCCAGCATCTCTGTCCCTTCTACCTCTGCCATCATCCTTGATTCTTCCCCTCGTAAGGAACTGCAACCCGGACCCTTCTTCTCTAGTACCTAGGGGAGATAATGACACTCATGACAGAGAGGTTGGCTCTACCAACAAGTAGGAGGAAAATCAATTAGACAAGATGATAGAGATCTTCAGGGTTAAGAGGTTTTCCCATCGACGGACCAGAAGGACCCCTCTAGCACTTTTTATCGGCAGACGCTAACCGTCTCATGAAGGTGTGTTTTAAAGACCACAGAGAAATTCTTAATCGCTGCTCATCGGTAAACTACGACAAAAAACAACTTTTTGCTTCTCCCTCGTCCTCTCTCTCAGCCACCCCTTCACGGGACTCAGGTACCAGGAGGTCCCCAAATTGGCTCCCTCATCCTCCCCCTCGAAGCGGTTATGAAAATCCTTTCTTGGAACAGCCGCGGCCTGAGACAGCCGCACAAATAAAAGGCAATGAGAGATGCATGCATTGAACACTGCCCCTCTGTCCCAACCCTAACTGAGAACAAAATACAAGATACCACACTTCAGCTGATCCGTCAAGTCTGGGGTAGGAAACCCTGTCAGTGGCTCTCCCTGCCCGCGACAAGGTCTTCAGGCGGTATCCTGGTGATCTGGAATCCTACGGAGCACCATCCAATTTCCACCCATTTCGGGGTTTACTCAGTTACGGCGCTACTCTCTAGACGATCAAACGGGGTCCTATGGAAATTTTTCGCAATCTACGGTCCAAACTTAGTCCAGCTTAAAACTCTTATTTGGGCTTAACTGAACCTCGTAGCATCCCTCCCTTGCCCCTCGTGGTCCATGGGCGGGGACTTCAACACCACCAGATGGTCATACGAGAGGAAGTCCAACATCTCCCAACGAATGTTGGACTTCTCGGATTTCATCTCTCGTAATGTGCTAATAGACATCCCGCTTCAAGGGAACAGGTTTACCTAGGCGGACCATGGCTCCCAACCTAAACTATCCAAACTAGATAGGTTTCTCATGTCCCCTGCCTGGGATGAGTCATTATCTAGGTCTCATGTTGTAGCCCTGCCTAAACCTACTTCTGACCATTGCCCTATCCTCCTGAACACCTCAGTTGTCTCTAGAGGTCCTAAACCTTTTAGGTTTAAACTGGCCTGGCTCCAAGAAGAAGCTCTCGCCTCACTAATTCCGGTATGGTGGAACTCTTTCTCAACCCAAGTCGCAGGCAGAGCCGGCTTTAGACTGCAAAAAAAGCTCCAACTTCTCAAAGCCTCCCTTAAAACTTGGAGTTCCTCCCTTATAGGAGATTTCTCACTGACTAAGAACAGCCTATTGAAGGCCATCCAGACCTTAGATGTGATGGAGGAATCGAGGCCTCTATCAACCTTTGAGGCTAGCCTTAGATCAAACATGAAGTTGGACTATCTCGCTACCCTCAAAAAAGAAGAATTGTACTGGTACCAGAGATCCCGAATTACTTGGCTGAAATCAGGAGACCAGAATACATGCCTTTTTCACAGGATAGCAAACTGTTGCAGACGAGATAACTCCATCTCCATTATTAAGGATGGCAACCGGATGGACTCTGCCCCGGATATTGAACTTACCATCCTCAATTACTTCAAGAGTCTCTATTCGACCACGTCGTATTCTAGACCGAGAATGGGAAATCTTCCATTCCGATCTCTCCCATCTAACTGGGTGGATTAGTTGGAACGCCCTTTCACCAAGGCTGAAATCCTTAAAGCGATTGAGGACCTGAGTAAAGACAAGGCCCCCGGCTCGAACAAATTCACAATCGCCCCCTTTAAACTTTTTGGGGTACCTTTAGGAACGACTTCCTTCTTTTCTTCGAGGAATTCTTCCATCGTGGAAAACTGCACAAAGCCATCAATGCCACCTTCATTGTGCTAGTTCCGAAGATAGAAGGGGCTGAGGAATTAAAGGACTTTCGTCGTATCAGCCTAGTTAACTCCACATACAAAATCCTATCTAAAGTGTTGGCCCCCAGGCTCAAACAGGTTCTCCCACTTGTCATCTCCCCTTCACAGTCAACCTTCATCAAGGACCGGCAGATACTAGATGAGGTGCTGGTGGCCCAGGATTGCATACATTCTCGCCACCGTTAGAAAAAACCGGCCTTAATTTTTAAGATAGACTGGGAGAAGGCTTACGATCATGTGGAATGGCCCATCCTTGACCTAGCTTTGACGAGGATGGGTTTTGGGGAGCGGTGGAGGAACTGGATGAGAGGATGCTACTCCAATCCTTTCTTTTCCATCCTCATCAACAGGACACCAAAAGGGTACTTCCCCTCCTCTAGAGGCCAAGGGGACCCCCTCTCTCACCCTTCCTCTTTACCGCTGTGGCGGAAGTATTCAGCCAGTCGATAGCCCACATGTATCAAGAGGGATTCGTCTCTGGCTTCAAAAGCAGATGAATGGCCCAAGTTTATCTCATCTACAATATGCAGACGATACGTTAGTCTTCATGGAAGTAAACCCCGAGGAAATCAAAAACCTCAGACTGTTTCTGATTTGTTTTGAGCATGCGACAGGGTTCAAAGCTAACATGGTCAAATCCAAAATGATAGGGGTCCAAAATGATAGGGGTAGGCCTATCCAACAACCAAACCAGAAACCTCATTCCTTCTTAGGAATGTACGGTGGAGGAACTGCCCACATCGTACCTGGGAATGCCATTGGACTGGGGAAGCCAAAGAAAGCCCACTGGTCCCATGTAATTGACATAGTAGACCGGAGATTGGCAGGATGGAAAGGCAGATACCTATCCTTTGCAGGGAGAACAACGCTTATCAAAGCAACCCTAGCCAACTCCCCCATAAACCTCATGTCGCTATTCCATATGCCAGCCTCGGTTGCTAAATGCCTAGACCAACTAACAATAAACTTCCTTGGTCAGATGAAGTGGCGTCAAATAAGATCCACCTGATTATGTGGGATAAAGTCCGTCTCCCGAAATATCAGGGCGGTCTAGGGATCAAAGTGCTCAGAACACACAACCTGACACTCTTAGGTAAATGGTGGTAGAGACTAGCTACTCAGAACTACCAGCTGTGGGCCCAGGTCATACGAAGCAAGTATAGTATCCCACCAGACCTTTCGCTGCCTGAGGGTTTTCCAACAAGAGGCTCGGGTGTATGGAAATCGCTACTCTCCTCCCTCCGACCGTTTAAACAATTCATCAGGTTCCATACTAGATAGAGTACAATTTTGGTCAGACATATGGTTAGGCCACACCCCGCTAAGAGAACGATTCCCCTCCCTATTCGTTGTGGCAATTGACAAAACCTCCCTAGCCTCGGAGGAAATTGTACCTTCAGGCAATCGCAAAGTTTGGAACCCATCCTTTAGAAGACCTCTCACAGATGAAGAAACCTTGGAGTTTATGTCCCTCTCGGACTCCCTCCACTCCACCTTCCTGACCCCAGGTCAGATACCTTGGTCTGGACTCCTCGCCCACCGGTTCCTTCACAGTGGCCTCTTTCTACAAGAAACTCCTGCAGCCTTCTTTCCCCCTAAACCTGAACCCAGTGCTCTCCAAAGTGTGGTCATCCATAGCCCCCAAAAAAGTACAAGCCTTCCACTGGATTGCTTGTTCCGAACGCGCACTCACTATAGACTTACTCCAGAGAAGAGGTGTCCAAACTCCTAATAGGTGCGTCATGTGCCTAGACAAGGAAGAAACAAACCCCCACTTGTTCATTCACTGTCAAACTGCCCTTCAACTTTGGAGTAAAATTATCCAACTTTTTGGAATATCCTAGGTCACCCCCCCTTCAATTTCGACGCTGACTTCCTGTTCCTTCGAATCTAACTTGCCGAAGTGGGGTAGGATTCTCTGGAAAGCTACTCTAGCTACTATGGTGTGGACCATCTGGCTAGAAAGAAATTCGAGAATTTTCGTGGTATCAAAAGTGAACTCCCAGCTTTGTTCCACAAGGTTACTTCGATGGTAATCTTTTGAGCTTCCAACCACAACTTGTTTACTGGGATTTCAGCGGCTTGTTTTCTTCGCAACTGGGTGAACCTTATTCAACTAACCCCACACCGCAACCCAAGAGTATCGTATTGGACCCCACCACTGGTGGGTGATATTAAGTTCAATTTTGATGGATGCTCCTTGGGAAATCCAGGCTTAGCAGGCGTGGGAGGAGTCTTACGTGACCATAACGGTGAAGTCATCTCATCCTTCTCAGAACACCTTGGCCACGAAGACTCACAGTTCGCAAAGGCCACGGCCCTATTGATGGGAACCAAGAAATTTAACCCGACCTACACCTGCACATAGAGGGAGATGCCAAAAATATAATTCTCTGGGCCGCGAGAGAGGCCCCTCCTCCGTGGTACCTAGCACACATTTTTGACGAAATTGAGCACACTTGCAGGGGTATAAACGTCTTATGGACGCATATTTGGAGGACGTCCAACAACTTCACAGATTGTCTCGCCAAGGAAGCCGCTAGGAACCAGCCTTCTGCACAACATGGAGTTTTATATCACTAACACGGCAGGGAGGCCGCCTCTTTCTAGATTGTAGACTTCTACCTTGTAACGGGTAGATTATATAAGCCCCTATCTTTTTCCTCACTAGTGGTGTTAGAGCCAATCTTTTAGAACAGGTCACTCCCTAGTGACTAATTTTTTGGTTGAGAGACGGTTTGTGGGTTACCACGACCCTTACTTTTGTAAAAAATCTTACTATTATAATATTTACCGTTAACTATCAAAAAAAAAGAAAAAAACAACCAAAATGTCAATATGTGAATTATGAGTAGGAGTTCAACTTACCAGCAGAAGCACATGTAAGTCCATTTTCAACAGACATTTGAACAACATCATCAACTTTGACAAGGCCAACAGATTCTACCCCACGATCGGTTCTAGATTTCTTCAAAACAGGGCTATCGCATCTTGGCACTTTCCCGCCTTTGCGCCGCAACTGTTTGCCCACAGAGTCTGGCAACCTTGTAAGCGAACTGTTTCTCCCTCCATTTAGGAATTTTTTTGTGTTGTTATCCAAAACAGATTTGTTAAGGACATTAGCAGGTGTGGATTGTTCAATGTCAGTCTGTCTCTTGTTGCTATAGACAGATTTCAGTTCAGGAGGATTCTCTATGTTTGGTGTATCTGTCAAAAAGACATGCAGATTCAAGTGTAAGGACATCAATCCTCACATATCTGTATTCTACAACTGAAAGAACACAATTTGAAAGAAAAATAGACACCAAAACTATTCTGCACCAATGAAATGACATCCATACATAACACAAGCAGATAATTGTAACACAAGCAGATAACTAACATGAATAAAATAGTTAAAAGCAATACCAAAAAAACAAAAAACGAAGACTCAAATTTTGCTGCAGCAATAGCATGAAGTTTTAACCAAAATGATAACATTACAAACATTTGCAAAAATCAATATCAAGTTTGTTCAAATGAAATGTCATATAGAAATCCAAGAATTTATAGTTAAAATATGACAAGCAAACATCAACATCAATGACAATCCTAGATTGGCAAAATTTCAGAGTGCATAAAAAAAATGACTGGAACCATTTCAAAACAAAATTAATAAGTGGAATAAAAAAGTTAACGTGAAAGCAAATGCAAAGGTATATGATAGATCCTCCAAGGAAGAAAAGCAATGGGGCACTCTTTTTATGCTTTATGTGTCCTAATGTCATTGTGCTAACCAAAAAAAAACCTTCTACTTTCTCCTCCCAAATTCTCTTGGAATTTATCTCTTAGGACTCTCTTGAAAGTTATATCTTTGCTAGGAAGGTTTTTCATACCCTTACGACATTACAAAAGGATTCCTCATGTGTATACAACTGTAGTGTTGCAAATCCAAAGATTGTAGAGTTCGGTATTCAAACAAAACAGCACATTTATCCACTCATTTAAGTTTGGATTCAAACCAACTTAGTATTGCAATGCTACACAAGTTTAAAATCAGCGTGGCATGGAGCTGAATACATTAAGTGCACAAAGATTCCTATTTCTACACAGAGGGAGGAAATGTTGTTATACTTTTCAAATTTCAAACCAAAAGTACAAGATACACCATATATGCTAAGGTTAACCTCTTCTAACATAGATGAAATGCGACAATACATTATGGAGGGACTAGGACGGCCTATTCATCAGCCTCTAATAAAAAATCACGCAACAAGCCCCAATAAAAACCTCAAAGTAGAACTCTCCAGCATAACTCTTTTCAGCAAGCACCTCTCTCTCTCT